CTTCAAGGCTTACAATCAAGGATAAAATTTCTAAACAAGGTTTAATAAAACGACAAAGAAGATGGGATGACGAGGCAGATATAGGAAGATTAACTCACCAATACTTCCCGTAAGTATCCCAAAACGAATAAAAGCAATTTTCTGCTAATACAATTAGCAACAAATCATGGAAGGTTGTCATCTTCCATGATTCCTCCGATTTTTAAGAAGGAATGTAAGATATAGGTGCGGAACACCAGCACATCTAGCAGATGCTACACGTTATATATGGTGTAACGTTTGAGCCCCCGTGATGGATGAAGAAAAGACGAGATATTTTTAAACTTAACAATTTTTCAGAATTAAATAAAAGTAAAAACCCACTACAGACATAATAATAAATCGGTCGCTTGAAGCGGCTTTTCGTCGCTGTCGCGACCTCACTCAAGTCTCTCTCTGCACAAAAACTCACACAAAAGCCTCTTTCTTTCCTTTTAAGATAGCGACTGTAGGAAACGAAATCAGAAGGGGTCTTTTGATGATTTCCTTTTTTTGAGTACTTTGGACATTTAGCTGACACAGAGAGACAGTTTCTCCTGGAAACCGCCTAGGGTATTTCCTGAAAGCATTTACGCAGATAATTAACTGAAAATTAGTCTCTGGACAAACAGAAAATTCTCTAAATGAACGCATGGTTATCAGAGTTGAGAATTTGTTACAATGGCAATGTCCATTACTTTCAATTATTACAGCAAAACATTTACCAGGATTTGCAACAAAAGTTCCAGCGAAAGATTTATTTTACAGTACAAAGCGTGTGTCTACACTTCAAAAAATTATGAAAATGTTATCGAAAACGAAGGCATGGTGATTATAAATAATAATTAATCCCATTACTGAGTGAATTAGCAAGTCAAGATTACAACTAGTCCTGTCTACATATGTAAAGAGCAAGAAAACGATAGAAAATTATATCAAGTCTTCTTCCCATCTGTATACGTTGTATATGTTTTCCTTCCATATTTTATTATTTAATATTTTTAACAAAAGACAAGTGGGTCCCAGTCGAGCGCGATTAATCAGTGTTAAAATGCTGTCAGCCTTATGGTTACATATGGTGAGTGGATGGCTGAACAATTATTTCGGCAGTTTGGACACAGAATTTAAAATTTTCTCCCGCAGTGTTCTTCGTTTAACGGGCTGGGAAGTCAAATTATAAATTGATAGATGGAATTCTGGCGGTGATGACAATTAATAATCCGCCTTTTGAAAGTTTGCTAAATTTAATAAATAAAAAAAAGATGAAAGTCTCAAAAAGACGATATGCTAATTTTTACTCTGAAATAAATAAATGAAACTGTACAGACCTCCGAAATTTTAAGTAATAAATCTGTCTTTCTTATACTGTTTGTATTGCTACCGTATTTTGACTTTTTATCTTTCTTCCATCTTTTTTGTAGGCAATATTTTTTTTTCTTCTGTTTGCTCTTTACAATAAAACACAGAAAGGAAAACTTCGTGAAGGAAGGGAAACTAATTCGTATTTATACATGATGAAAACTATGAAAACTCCAATGTTCACCCATCCTTTGCATTTAGTCAAATCAGTACCAGAATAAGACTCTAGCGAGGTGTAACTGGAAGAACGCTCGTCGCATATTCGGGAGATTCGAAGTTTGATTCCCGACGAGTGCAAAGAGTATTTCTTCAGTTTCCTGACTTCGAAAAATTCTAATGACTCGACAGTGACAGTTGGTGCCCGAACTAAAAGGAGGGGAGTGATAATTCGTCACCACCAGGACTTTTTACTAGGTCTCCTAATCCCCAGTCGTCCTTCAAAAGGGAAGGTATATAAGGTATTTTCTCCCTCCTTTCTGCATGCCTTCCAGGTGTAACTGAAAGCACGCTCAACGCGTATTCGGGAGGTCCGCAGTTCAAACCCCGAGAAGGGCAAAGAGGATTTCTTCAGGTTCCTGACTTTGAGAAATTCTGATGGCTTTACAATACAACATGTTACCTTGTTTATTCATAATTTTCTTTAGTTATAAAATCAGTTTCGACATCTTCATTATTCCACCAGAGTACATCATTTTCATTGCCACTTAAATTATTAGTAATGTAAAGTTTTGAAAATACTTTAAAAAAGATTTTAAAGTATCATTACGGAATGCGTGACTTGCAGAAATAATATATTAAAAATATTCGCTTTGAATTTAAGCCACACCCTAGTTTCTAAAATATCCACATAAATCCTTACTCGGTTTTTATTTTCGCAATCGTTGATCGCAGACATACCCTTTCGATACTAATATTTTCAAATGACGTAAATATTATTGTTTTGGCATTTTGAAATTTAAAATATAATCAGCTTTGTAAAAATCTTAAAATATATCTCTTTATACATTTCCTCGGTCCTTATACTTGTATTCAGGAAAATTTTATATTAATTATAAAAAATGAAATAAAAAAACTATGATTGCTGTGCGACCAAAAGTGATCAAGCTACTTTGTTTTGAAATTGAGCATCACATTCAGATGTCGCACACAAACTGAAGAGCGAATTGTTTTCATTTTTTCAAAAAGAAGGAGATATTATTTACAGAATCTTACAAAATTCATATAGTGACTTCAGTATTAGCACACGGCGAACTCGTAACATTATTTGTCTAAATTAAAAAAGAAAAGCCAATTCCAGTGCTTTCTGTGATTCTCAAATTATGATTCTAAAGTAATGAAATTTCATAAGAATATTAATGGCGTATTTTAGGGGAGAAAATTCTTTCGGCATGCCAACTATAACAAAATTATATGTTACACAGTTATAAGTTTTAATTATAAATTAAATAGTATGTATTAAATGTGCTACCAGATCTCATCCTAAATTTAAAAATATGTCTTCAGATTTTGGAAAAACATTTGAAACTAATTTAGGTAAAGAAACCTTGATAATTTATTCCATTTAATGCAAAAATATCAGGAGGAACAGAAATAAGAAAGGGGGACCTGTAAAGAAGAGTATCCTATGCTTGATCGCCCTCAAAATACACAGACATTTATTTAAAATTTGAACCTAACTGTAGTAGCTTTTTACTTCCTTGCAATCGCAAAAAAATTCGGGTATCATATTTCAACTAAAATATCCATTTTGACCGCCCTCGAATCCATCTAAACGATGATTTCGCGTGACATCGGTACCTAGGGACAGAACAAAGGACTCTTTTTCCCAACATGGATTGTGAAATGAAGAAAAGGTTTTTTTTTTCCATGACGTCTGTACGCATGAATCTTCCATGACTCAAAAACTAGTAGCCTTAGAACATTGAAATTTTGCATGCGGGTCTGCTATAACATGTACTTGTGCACCTCCCTTTTTATTCGCAATTAGCCGGCCTAAATGTATATAAAATGTATATAAATGTATATATATATATATATATGCTGACTCTGTTACCCGGCTCGCTGAGCTCAGTTTTTTATTCTTATATGTTGGCAAATTGTGCATTTTTTGCGTTCAAAGTGATTGAATTATGTTGTTCTTAAGTTCCGGTTCAATTTTGTATGCTTTTAGCTAATTTGCATGCCCTAGTTGTAAACTTATCAACAATTTAAAAGTTATTTAAGGGGTACTGAACCTAACGATCCCGCCATTTGTTTACATTTAAAACTCTAAGCACAGTGAATTAATTAAGTTTCTTTTTGCCGAGTCGAATAAAAAGTAAACTTTCAGATTTGTACACCGAAAAAAAATCTGTCTTCCTGCCCGCTGGTCAAATTGCTTGTTTTTGCATAGAAACTCTCATTTTAATTGTAAAAATTGCTTTTTTAACTATTTTAACTGTATTTGGTATTTAATATTTTTCTGCATTTTACAATTTTTAATGAAGATCTTTTGAAATTTTTGTATTTTTGCCTTATGTATTTTTTAATTGAATAAGTAATATATCTCTAATGAAATTCGAGAAAATAAGTTTAAACGAAATGCAGCAAGAAAATGCTTATGCAACCAGCCCGTTCGCCGGTGTTCGAACCCTAGACCGAACTATCAGTGTTCAGTGACCGCTTTACCGCTGGTTGCACAAAATGGGATAGAAACAATGCGCAATCCCAGAGTAAGCAAAATTCCCTGCAAGAAAAGTATCAAATTGGTAGGATGAAGCAAAACAATAAGACTAGCAGAAAACACAGGCCCACTAAGCTGCCGAGCAGTAAAGTTGCTGAACACTGGGTTCGAGCCCCAGTGTACGGGCTGGCTACATAGGTGTATTCATGGTTTACTCCATGTGTAAAGTGGATATGATCCAGTTTCCCTTAGAAAGTTCTTTAAGAAGACATCTTTTCCCTTAGGCAAATATCTCTCACGTTTTTTGCCATAATTAGATAAACCAAACCAATTAGAAAACATGTGCCATGCACTGCCTAAACGAACATGCAAACCTATATCTAAAAGGAAGAATAAGAGTTTGATATGTGTTAAATAAACGTTAGGCTGTCCCAAGAGTAAACTGGGAAATAATTTGGAAAAGAATAATTAGATCTTTTTCAACATTCGAAAAAGATAATAACGATTGAAAAAAAAAGTATGTTGAAATTCCGATTAAGTTAATGAAATATTCTGCAGCCATCGCCAAATGAAAAGTAGGAAATAGTATTCTTTTCAGTGAAACGCTAATAATCATGCTGATAATTTCGAAGTCTATCGATTAGAGATGCTTCATCTGCTTTTAAAGGAAATAGAGACACTTAGTACTAATGGCTATTGATAGTTTGATTTTTGATGGTGGAACAGACTAACTGTAAGTGTATTTAATGGCTTTCTTAATGTGAAAAGTCTAAGCAACGTTTCATTATAACACAGTATACAAACGTTAAAATAGCGAATAGTTAGGCGTTACATGAGTTTCGAGTAAATTCATGTTATGTAATTCAAATATTTCAAACAAAAGTGGTATTAGTACTCTTTCTACAGATGTATATTTTAGAAAAATCAGTCATGTATATATAAGTCATAATTGCAAGTTTTCTAATAAGAAACATTTTAATGAACGTTGCTTTAATCAAAAAAAAAAAAAAAGAAAAGAAACAGTATACTTATGTCAGAATAAATACTTTTTTTTTTCCCGTCATAAATCGTTACTATAGTTACAATTGTTGCGCATATTATTATTCTTTTGAAGCGTAAAATAAGTTGAAATAAATACCGCAAAATTATAGATATAATTATTTCTGAATTTTTTAGAAATTGGAGGTCATAGTTCATGTTAAATCTCTTTAGAGTTTTGAGTTCTTTTCGGAAATTCTGAATACAAATGGTAAAAATTATAAGTTTAACTTTTACAAATGGAAAAACCTTCGCATCACATAGATCCGCTTCTTCTGAATATCACGATTGTCTCGGCGAGGAAGTTGTACACCTATACGTAAAGGTTTGTCGTGAAAAGGGAAACCGTTGTCGTCATTGTAGTTGTTCTTCTTATTCACAGCAAATGCCTGAATATTTGCACGGTGAGGTTTGGCATGGTGTAAAGCATCATCGTCATTCAAGTTACGCATGGCAAAGAACTGCATATCTGGTGATGAAGTTTTTTCATAATGCACACCAAAATCTCCATTGCCGTTTTTATCAAAGAGAGATAGGCTGTGCTTATCATCTGGCCTATTACCGTATGCAAATGCTGAAGGGTGGTCAACACTTTTCCTTCTGATATCCTGGAAACGCATCATCAGAGGATCTTGCAGAAATAGGTTGCTGAAGAGACCGTTCCCGAGCAGAATTTCGTTAGTAATTTCGTCGGCTACTCTTTCAGCCATATTGCTCGACTCAGTGAGTTTGGGAAAAGCCGTCGTTGGCGCAGGTTTCGTACCATCTTCCACCTCAAAATCATTGATGCTTTCCACAATTCTTTTCCATCTCGCCCCTAAAATATTAAAGCAGTTTAGTGGTTGTTGTTAATTATAGATTACTCATGCATTTTAAATTGTTTTGTGTGGTGTTTTCAAATATGCAAGTTCCTAATACTATTTAGTGTTTATCTGATCCAGAGGTTCAAATCCTGGAGAAAGCACTGGTTGGCTGTACAGTCATTTTCGTGGTTTCTACCTATTGTATAACGAGAATATGAGCCAATTTTTCTTTGAAAACTTACTGTACAAAGATTCGATAAAAGCTTACAATCAGGTGCCCCTTTTGATTACATTTTCAACACCAAGAGGCAATATTTCCAAGATGGCTGTCACTCAAAAAAGCGCCGAAAACGTAAGTCATAAAAACAACAAAAGTGCTCATCTTGTGTGTTCTTGGCTATGCTCTATCATCAGCATCAGATGACTTCGACACATAGACAGTCAGTTCAACAAATTATTGTACCCGGACAAAGCCACAACCCCACATTTTGCCATCATCCATAACTAAAAATTCTTCAGTTGATATAAACATGCAAGAGTGCAATTTAAAGAATAACGCTTCAACTCAAGATTATAACGTGGACAGTGATGTACAAAATAATCCACCCCCAACCTTGCTAAAAAACTCGATACCATTTTCTTCAATGCGTTTTCTCCAAATCAACTTACAAAGAGCAAAAGCGGCTTCTGATCATCTAGCATAATTCTTAACTCATAACCATAAAGACTTTGTTTTAATCCAAGAACCCTATTGTATCGAAGGGAAAGTAAGTAGCATTCCAATGTCTTGGAATGTCTTTCAATATTCTCCTCAGTCCCCCAATCAACATCCCAGAGCAGCTATCATCAGTTTTAAACATAGCTGGCACCCAATTCTAATTACAGCCAAAAGAGACCTAGTTACAATCAGTCTTAATAGTTCCAACTCTCAACTTCTTATTTCAAGTATTTATGCATCTCCCTCCGAGGATATTTCTCCTTTGCTTCAAGATTTAGAATCCATCTTGTTTTCCTTCCGAAGTCCACACATAATTTGTGGAGACTTCAATTCACACAACCAGCTTTGGGGCTACAATTCCACAAGTCCAAGAGGAAGGTCCCTTGAGGAATTCTTCAATTCACATAATCTTGTCATTCATAACCAAGACTCGGGTTTACCTTCTTTTGAAACAATGTATGGGAGAGGGTGGCCAGATCTCGTAGTTACTTCCCATCACCTAATTAATTCGATTTCAAATCGCAAAATTGAAGAAGACAACTCCCACTCAGATCATAAATATATTACTTTTTGAAATCAAAGAGAACTCAGAATCAGTTTTAATGAAACGTTTTAAAATTGCTAAAAAGAAAGAAAAGAACTTTATTAAGCAAATTCAACAATCCGCATTTCCAATGACTTCTTCCTTCCAACTAAGTGCAACAAAAGAAGATCTAAATAAAGCTACAGAAGATTTTAAAAAAAAAATCCAAGAAATATGTGAAAATACCTTTCCAATACGATCTGCAAAACCTTACTTTCATATAAATTGGTGGACTAAAGAGTTACGCGCTCAAAAGCATAAGGCGAGCGAGAGCATTGAAACGGAAAATGAAATCGGTTACTGACGATGAATTAAGACACCAAGCCTGGCTCAAATTCAAAAAAGAAAATGCAAACTACAAAAAGATGATTCTCGAATCTAAATTAAAAAGTTGGCAAAAATATTGTTCAAACAATAAAGAAATTTATGGCACCTTATACAAGATCGCCAGTAGTAAAATATTTAAACCGTCACAAATCCAACTTCCCTCAAATTTGCTTTCAAGTTCTGCTGAAATTCAGGATGCCACTCTCTCAACCCTAAATGAGATTCTTGACTCTGTCTTTCTAAAAGATGATCCAGCTGAAGATTCGCCTACTCAAACCAGAATCCGTAACTGCGATGACATTCCACAAACAGACAACGATATTCCGTTCTCAAAACAAGAAATAAAGCAAATAATTAAAAACCTAGCTTTAAAAAAGGCACCAGGCCCAGATGGCATCGATAACCACATTATAAAATTAATCAATCAAGCCCATCCTGACATAATCTGTAGTTTTTGCAATTCGATGTATAGAACTCTCTACCTTTCCTGATTGCCTGAAAATTGGTAATATAATACTCTTCAATAAGAAGAATAAAAGCTCCGATGAACCTAAATCTTATCGTCCGATAAATCTTCTCCCAGCCCTGGGAAAAGTTTTGGAAAGATGTCTTATTGGTCGTCTAAAATTTCATGTTTACAGCAAAAACTTAATAAGCAATAACCAGTTTGGATTTCGAAGCCTACTTTCAACAAGTCATGCAATTAATTCAGCTCTTGAACAAGTCAGAAACAATAAAATCAACCAACTTCATTCTGCAATAATATGTCTCGACTTAAAATCAGCTTTTGATTCTTTATGGTGGCCAGCAGTTTTACAAGCGCTGCGTTCCTTTAAGTGCCCTCAAAATTTATTTCTAATTATTCAAGATTACTTCAGAAACAGGAAAAGTATGATTCTTTACAACAACACTGAAATTGTGCGTAATCAAGTCCGAGGATGTCCTCAGGGGTCTTGCATGAGTGCAGATCTCTGGAATATCAGCTTCAACAACATCATTGCCTATCCATGGCCAGATCACTCAAAAATTGTAGCTTTTGCAGATGATGTAGCTTTTATTACAAGTGGCCGCCGTACCAGAGACATTTTACAGAATAATTGCAACGAAACACTCCAGTTATTTAACCAACTTTGCAAAAATTCAAAAACTACAAATTTCACATAGTAAATCCCAAGTCTTAGTGATCCATAAACCAGGACAAAATATAACTAAAGCTTTAGCTCTAAAAATTGACAATCAAAAGATCAAATATGTGAACACAATCAAGTACCTCGGTTTAACAACCGACAAAAAATTCTCCTGGATTCCTCATCTACAAAATATTAAACTTCGTACAACATCAATAGCTAACTGCCTACGACGTATGCATGGATATAACTGGGGCTTAAATCTCCATATAACACGTATTCTTCTAAAAACAGTCATCTCAAAAATGGTAAATTATGGAGCCGGAATTTGGGCACAACCAATGACAGTAAGAAAGATGAAATGTTTAAATTCAATTCAAAGGCCTTTTACTCTTTGCATTACTCGGGCGTATCGCACAACTTCAAATATAGCACTTGATACTCTAGCTGGTACTCTTCCGTTATCAATCAGTGCAGAAATGGAATGCACCTATATGAAAGTTCTTCAACTTAACCAAGCCGCAGAATTCAACAACCAAACCTTTTGGCCATCCAACTATGAAAAGAAAATTAACCCCAATCTTATCCATCCAGCGCTTCGCTTCAGCAAAATAATATTCCCCACGTCTGAAGAAAATTCAAGTTCATCTCCAATTGCTTATACTGATGGATCAAAAATTGAAGGAAAAGTTGGTTCCGCAGTCTTTTTTTCAAATTACCCCCTCAAATATTGTCAAATAGAAAGACCATCTCCATAATAATAATAGTGTTTTCCAAGCGGAATTGTCAGCTATAAAAGCAGCGATTGAAATAGCCATTCTCAAAAATCTCGACGAATTTAGCATAAAATCTGACTTCCAAGCAGCTATTCTAGCTATTAAAAATCCCTTACCTTCCTCTCCATTGATATCCGACATAAGTTCTCTTCTTGGCAAAATCCCAAACTACAAAATTCAAATTTCATGGATCAAAGGACATAGTGGCCATTTTGGTAATGATCAGGCAGATGAACTAACCAAAGAAGCAGCTATTAATCAAGATGGTACTGAAATCATCATTCCGTGGCCTCGCTCAAATTTCAAGTACCAACTAAAACAACTTGCTTCAAAATCTTGGCAAGATTTGTGGAACAATGCTCCACAGGGAAGACGCACATATAACTTGATGCCCAATGTAAGCTTAGCATCTCTGAACTCGAATCCTTCCCTAAATTACTTTATAACAGGACATGGACCCTTCCCCACATATTTCTACGCAAGAAATTTGGCAAATTCTGACATCTGCATATGTGGGGAACAGGGAACTCCTGATCACTACGTTTTCTCATGCCCCTTAACTGAGGATATTCACATAAAATCCCCAAGAACTGACCTCCTGGCATTCCAAAGATTTTTAATTAAAGATAAACATCAATATCCAAAGTTTCAGAAAATTATGCAACGACTCTCTTCCTACGGCCTAGATCTCTGTCAAGTGTAAGTCCACATACAGTTTAAACTTAGTGAACTTTTACATGCTGTGATTATGGACAAAATGGATCCGCTCGTGAACTTTATAAACTGCAATAAACCAATATATCTGAAATAACCCATGGACACCTACCTCTTTAGCATTATTATAACAATTCATTTAAGGGGACTCATACACCTTAAAACCAATAAGATGTTCGAATAGGTGACTGTTGAAAGAATTGGGATAACTTATTTATTTTACAAGCAATTACTACCAACTTTTTACAGCTGACTACATAATATAGCTGCTTTCTGAAATAGTAATCAGAAAGTTTGTGTTGCCACAAATATTTGTATAATTTAATCCGCTTTGTGACAACATTTTTCGTCATGTTTCCAACTTGCGCGCACAGTTTTAAAACATTCTGTTTCATAATTTAATTCCATATTTAATATATAGCTTTTATAACATTTGGAAACTACTGTGAACCTAAAATTCTAAAAATTTCATGTTAAATTTTTATTTGATTTTGAGTTGAGTTTATAAAATGTATTTTATTAAAAAAAATTTAATGTTTTCGTCCATAAAATTTTTCAATATTAAAATATTCATACAATAGTAGATTGTTACAATAGTAGATTCAACAATAGTAGATTGTTGGTTCAGTTAGAAAATAGTGCCCATATAAAGAATTTCATCAAATTTCAAGTATGTACCTTTAGCCATTTTTAAAATCATGCGCGCAACGTGGAAACAAGGCGAAATATTTTGTCACAAAGAAGATTACATTACAAAAATATTTGTGGCAACACAAACTTTCTGGTTACTAATTTCCAAAGCAGCTATATTATGTAGTCAGCTGTAAAAAGTTGGAAGTAATTGCTATTAAAATAAAATAAAATATTCCAATTCTTGCAACAGTCACATATTCGAAGATCATGAGGGGTTTAAGGTGTATGAGTCCCCTTAACATTGTGTTGCCAGTACTAATTATAATTATCTCATTATGTTTATTTGTTTATTAATTATGTTTATCTCCTATTTTTGTTGCACCAAATCAGATGTTCAATTTATCTTGTGAATCTCAAATTGTATTCCTACTATTTTGTAATCTACTTATGCCCTACACCATTATTTTTAATAAATACTGGATGCGGGGCGTACTGTGGAATTGCACGATGTACCATAATAGGCAAACTTTAGACCTTTTGAAAAGCTTCAGTTTATGCAAATTCTTATAAAACTTGCAATTACCCCCCCCTTTTTTTCTCTCTCAAAGAGTTAGTATGGAAAGGCATTACCAGTTGACCTATGGTACATCGCTGGTATCCCCCATACTTTACCTTTACCTTTACCTTTACCTCACATACAATTTTAAATATAGTTCACGCAGTCCCGCGACGAATTCTCATCCTTCTCTCGATCCTAGTAGACGCGACACCCCACAGTAGAAATAAAATTCCGCAAAGTAGGAATGAAAAATTTCGTCTTCCGGTTAATCTGGCTGCTCTATGCCCTAAATGGTGTTGGTACGTGCGCCAGTTTTGGAGTTTTAATACGTGAGGGAATGATTAGCTGACAAATGTTTGAAATCTTGTTATCGAGGCCAACACACAGCTTTCATTCACCTTACTACCTTATTATTCTTCCTTTTACCAAACTTGCTCTCATCTGTCTCCACAACCGTGCCAGGACAGGCAATCATTTCACTCTTTTACACATACATTCATACACACCTTCTGTACAAAAATTCCTTCAATTAACTACAGTTTCACTCGAACCAATTTAATTCGACATTGTATTCACCTCATTTATAAATTACAGCTTTATGCACCTATAAATAGGAAAAAATTGAAATATCAATTATGCTTATCTTTCTTTCTTCGAACAATGTACTCTTCCTTACAGACCTCTTTACAGTGATGAGCACTGGCACCTTTCTCACAACAAAGCTACTCATAACCATTTGATCGGTCTTTACGGTCGAGCAGACTAATCAAATATGCTCCTTTCAGTAAATGATAATACCGTACATTCCGGTGAATAATGCTGACCGGTGTATAACGTACACCTATACTTTCAAACTATATTTTTTTCATTTTTTGGTATATTCGCCGTATAACGCGCACCCTTTTCCCGGCGAAGAAACCTGAATGATACATGTGCGATGCTTTTATCTTTCGAAGTCATTTAGAAGGTATTTCTCCCGCTTCCCTAGCGTGCCTTCGTGGTGTAGTGGTTCTGCACGCTGGGCCGATATTCCAGTGGTCCGTGGTTCGATTCCCGACGAAGGCGTTGCATATTTTTCAAACTCTCTTTCTCCCCCCCCAAAAAAAATCCTAATGTCTCTACACATTCATCCAAAGATATTTATATTTCTCAGGCTTTCGAACAATGGCATACTGATTTGACAAGCGATAAAGGGAGCAATATGTATTTCAGAGAAATGGTTGAGGGAGTAAATAATAATGCAAAATGCATGGGTTATATTCAATGCAAGTGTGTATAAGAATGTTAATCTTGGGTTTCCTGAAAAGACGGACATAATTTGGGGGAAGGATGCACTTCCGACTCGAATATTTTATTCGCTAGATTAGAAGTCAGATCATTTTACTTTCTGTAGTCATTGCACTGGTTTCAAATACAAAATCATTCAATTTGCGAAAGAAAATGGAAATCTTGTTGCAACAAAGATGTTTCGTTATGGGGAAAGCTCCATATGTGACTGGAAAAAAATTAAATTTCAATAATTAATATGCCAAAGCATAAATACTCTTAACATAAATTAATACCGAAATGGCCTATCATAGAAGAAATTGTTGCGAACTGGGTCCTAGAAAAAAGTCAGAATGGATTAATTATAACAAGATACCTTAAAGTGGCCGAAAAAGAATGTAAATGAAATTGAAAACTTTACAGCAACTTTGAGTTGGTGTAGTCGATTTATGTATTAATTTAGTTCTAAGATAAAAGGTAAAAGTTTCGAAAAGGCTTCCGAAAGACTGATAAGTTTCCAGAGGTATGTCATTGGCCTACAAAGGCAGAAAAAATATTTAGTCTCACATACTGGAAATTTGGATGAAACTCCAGTAATGTCTGAAATCACAGGAAATAAAACAATTGATGTGAATGGGAACAAAAACTGTTCACATAAAAACAATAGATTACGAAAAATCTCACCTCACGGCATTGCTTTCCCGCTTGGCGGTTGTACAAAATTAAAACTCGTGGCTATTTTTCAAAGAAAGACGGGGAAAGTGCAGAATCGCCCACTGCTTGGCGCGTTTTTTAAGAATTGCACATACTCAGTATCCATGTACACATCGACCTATTTTCACTTTAAAAAATTCCGGAATTGCACAAAAATGGCATTGCGCACTCCCTTGACTTTGTCCATGTAACATCGACCTAATTTCACTTAAAAAGTGAAAGAAAATTGACAAAAATCCAATTCTTCTTACTCTTGTAAAAAGCGTCAAACAAACGCCAATCAAATAAGTGGGGGATTCTGCATGCCAGAAAGACAATGAAATATGATATCTCAAATTTCGTTTTCATTCATGTTCACAAGAAAGGATGAATGAACGAAAAAGGTGTAAAACTGTAGGCAAGAAATGTTTGTCAAAAACGCTCTGTTGCGTTAAAGGACCCAGAAAGTATTTTAGTTTGGGACATGTTAAGATCCCATCTAATGAGTAATGCGAAGAAATTGCTGAAAGGATGTAATACAGACATGGCAGTTATTCCAGGCTAATTAACGCCACTAGTTCAACCTTTAGATGTGTGTACCTATAAACCATTCAAAGAAAATTTAAAACGACAGTGGAATACCTGGATGTTAGAAAGTGAAAAAATATTTACAAAAGGCGACCAAATGACGTCAATCCAGTCTAGAAATAGTGCTTGAGTGGATAATAAAAGCGTGGAATCAAATTAAACCCGATATAATTCAAAAATCACTTTAAAATGTAGTATATGTAACAATCTAAATAGAACGGAAGATGTTTATTTATTTATGGATCAGAGTAACAGTGACGGTAAGAATAAAACAGAATTCGATGATGTTCCTGAAGGTATAACAGGAGACATAAGAAGAACTTTTCATGTTATCGGATAGTGAAAATTTTTAAGTTCATAAGGTATATCATTTCTTTTAAGTAAACAGCATTTAGTTAAGTATAGAAATCTAATTTTTGTAAGCTCATATTTCCCTTATTTTTAAATCTATCATTGTTATATCTGGCGTATAGCGTGCACCCTTAAATTTTGATCTTTTATTTTGTATTGAAAATTCGCGTTATACGCCGGAATATACGATAATAAAAATCGAATCAGTTTGAAACCATTTTGGTGCATCGTAAGTAGAAAGTGAGGTTGGCTTTTGCGAACATTGAGAGGATATTTGGACATTACTGTGACATTAACATTAATTACCTTTCTAGTAGTGAAGAAAGCTTTACCATATTTCACCATTCATCGTACTTATAACTTTCACGAAATAAGTATTTCACCCAAAACAGTCAAACATTTATTCCCATTAAAAGAATAATCAAAGCTTTTCTGCTGTATCATATTATGTCTTATAAGTATTCCATAATTTTATGTAAACTTACATGGTAAGTCATGTCCCTTTGTATCGTTCTTTACAGCTGAAGATGTCGAATTCGTATCGTTCCTTAAAGTATCCAAAAATCCTATCATTTGCTGACATAATCCGCATCCACCGAAAATTAATCCATTCGTGCTGTTCGTAGTGACATTAACGAATGTTATATTAAACTCTAGCATAGGAACAGGCTCCAAAATTTGAACACCATCTGTCGATAAATGATGAGTTTTATTTGAAACCATAAATTGCATAGAATTATTTACAGCAGAGCAACTAGCGATGCCTGAAAACAGAAAATATATTATCATCATGTTATATCATAGGGAAAAGAAATGGTCATATTGAAATTACTTTGGAATGATGCCTAAATTTTTAATATAATTCAGCTCGTGAGGAGCATTCTTTAATCTCGTAACATTAATAACACAAGTAACAGTTAAATTATTTTCAGCTCAGCGTGAAATCGAGATTTATTAAAAGTTTAAGTGCACATAAAAATACATTTAATAAGAAGAATATAAAATAATAATAACTACATTATGCCGTATAAACAAAAGGGTCGACGCCAAGAGTATCGATAATTCGCCAGTGATAGTCCTAATGTAAACAAATTACTTAAATTTACAAACATTAAGCGCATATGCTATTTGCTTAGCCACTGCGGGTGTAAACTTTTAACCGCATATAAAAAAGGTTAAGAGTAGATCGACTTTGAATCAGCTCTAAGATATGTATTGCAGTTCTATAAGATGATACCTATTGTCTGCGATATTGTTTATTTTGCAGTGTAATTTCAAGAAAATTTGTTTTATTCACTATCCGTTGTGACACTTACTTTTGAAAGCTGGACTGCCATTTACGTTAATAATAATGATCTATTAATTAGTTTATTTGTCAAGAGAAAAACTTTGATTAGGCACGGAATTTGATGCGCAACTACAAGAAAAAAAGCATGTTTCGACAAGTGATTCAGTGGCTGCAGAGAATCATTTGCCCATCAGCACCAAAATTGGTTTACCGTTGAACAGAAGAACTTACGTTGATTCAGTGGTGTGAGAAAAAACCAACCTGAAACTTCCCAAAAATACGATTATTGTTGCGTTCTACGGGTTCTTGGATTTGGAATAATTGCTGATAACACTTGATAAAGAATCAAAACACGATTTATTCGCCAGTAGGCAATATTACACAGGACAGTTCGAAAAATACGTTTAAACACGTTTAAGACACGAGCTGAAACGCTTAGCAAAACAGCTCCATGGGCAAAGCACTAAAGTACAGCTCTTGACTCCATCCATCGCTCTCAAGTTAATCTCTGAACTCAACACACTACTTTCTTCCCGTAGCTTTATGAAAGCTTATTTGGGGGATGGATTCCAATAGTAAGTCTGAATTGTGGTTTAGTTCTTATAGCGATGCTCGAGGAAACAGGCTTGGGGATTTTATCAGCTCCTATAATTTCTATGTGATCCAGTGAGAAAGGATTGTTGGCCCTAACTTTTGTTCGAAACAGGTATCAAGTTATATAGGTATCACAATTGTGGGAGTTGATTTGCTTTCGAATGTTAATTGCTGGTGTCTCTCAGACTACGAATCGTTGTCAGATTATGTGATGATTGAATGTGACTTAAATGACAACAGTTCCCGTTGCGCATTTTATTGCGGCTAGTAGAGTATTGTTTAATACAAAAAAAGCAAATTGGAAATATTTTGAAAAATGTCTTTCACAGTATATTCCTTCTGTCATGGAATCGTTTGGATTCTTGCGCAACTATTGACTCGCTTGAGGTGATTATTGATTTTATAACTTCAGTTATTTTTCAGGCATCTATGAAATTTATGCCTGTATGCGTAGAGTACCATGGTGATCGTTGGAGATTTCCATTATGAGAAAGATAGTTAATGCTGCAAGACGGAGGTTTCAGAGAAGTAGCAATATGTCATTTGTATAAGCGGAAATATCTTGATTTGAGGAAAAAATACGATCAAATGCTCCTTGAGGCCAAATTGGATTCGTGGAGGAAGTTTCTTTCAGATATTAATAATGAGAATGTATGGAGAAACATTTACTGTTATTGTATTAAAGAAACTTTTATGAGTAAGACTGAGATCTTAGGTCCTTAGCTTCCAACCCGTAATTTTACATCTTCCATGGAGAAGACTTTCGACGCTATTCTTCATTCAGTATTTCCTCCTGACTATAAATACAAGTGAGGCAAATAACTGTTAAGAGGATTGATAGTGATTTTCATACTCAGTGGCCCATATCTGCCTGCAGTGAATATATATATCTCACATTGATCTTCCCTTTTCGCCTACTCAGGTTGACGATGTAATTCGGATTTTAAAGCTTGGTAAAGCTTCTGCCCCGAGTCTATTCCACAGAAACATATTTTTATCGTTTTTTCTCAGCTATTTTAAGGGGAGGAATTTTAGTGTTCCACATGTGAATAATCTTCGGTGTACCTGTCTTCTTTCTTCTCTGGGTAAATGTTTTGAAAAATTAATTACAAACAGAATTACTTAGCATTTACATAAAGAAAATCGGTACTATTCCGTTTTGAGGACCGTAAAAAAATTGCAACGAAAATGTATGCTCAAAAGCGCCAAATCTAGCAAACACGGGCATTTAACAGCGCGCCAAATCTAACGTATGCGCTGATTTCAGATTGCGTAGCTTTTTATAAGTTTATATAGTTCTATATTTCTAAAGACGCCATTGAAACACTAGTTTAATTTTTAAATCCTTTTTTGATATCCTATGGATTTAACAATTTGGGAATTGCCCGTGACGAAAAGTCTGCAATAGAATTTTGAGTAAAGTGCAGAATCACCCACTGCTTGACGCGTTTTTAAGAATTGAACATACTCAGTATCCATGTACGCATCGACCTATTTTCACTTTAAAAAAAAATTCCAGAATTGCACAAAAATGGCACTGCTCACACCCTTACTTATCTATGTACACATCGACCTATTTTTCACTTTAAAGTAAAAGAAAATTGACAAAAATCCGATTGTTTTTACCCTTTTAAAAAGCGACAAACAAATAAGTGGGCGATTCTGCACTTCACCGAGAATTTTTTCATAGAAAAGGCATCATTCATTATAGAAAATTATGTTTGAACAACCAACGAGATGAAATTATGCGTTAGAGATAACTCGGTACTTAAATAGCGGTTTAGCAATTTTTATATAAATTATAATAATAAAAAAGTATTATATGAAAATAACTTTTCAAAATTAAAACATTAGTCTTAGATAGTTATTTACTATTATACTTATTTTCTTGCGTTAGGGTTGCCGCAATTATTTTTGGCAGCACTGGCATCAACAATAATAGTTTGGCGATTTTTTACGGCCCTCTAAACCGAATAGTACCAGAAAATCTTCTTAGTGCTGATCAATAGGGTTTCACTGCTCAAAGGTGTACTGAGGACGCCCTTCTGAGTTTAAACAACATTGTTTAGAGGGCAAGCCGAGAAGTATATATACTATTCTATTTTTTCTTGATATTAAAAGAGCCTTTGATAATGCATGGTGGTCTGCCATTATTAATTTATTGAAGAATATGAAGTACTTCATAACGTGTTTAATGTTGTTGCTGATTTGCTGAAGGATAGGACTGTCGAGCTTTTTCTGTGTTTTACCTCAATTCGTCGACCTCCGAAGGGATGTTCGCGACACGCAAAATCTAAGACGATATTTTTTGATAGAAGAAATATCACTTTGATGAATACCAATTGTTTTCAAATAATCCCTTTGAGACGGTGAATGAAATTAAATATTTAGGCGTTTTGTTGGATAGCAAATTTAGCTGGAAAAAGCACATTACCTATATTTCTAATAAATGTGAGAGAATTTCAGCGTAGACTGAATCGAAATGCATTTAATAGTTTTGGTGTAAAATCGAATGTTTGCACAACTATATATAAAAATTTGATGTGTACACCACATGACTTCCTTGTACGGAATATTAAATTACATGCATTTTTTCTTGCACTTCATTTAAACTTATTGGATTGAATTAAATCGACTTCGCCGACAGCGCATAAATCACAACAGAATAAATGCACTCTTTAAAATTCACTCTATTTGTTTACCATAGCGACACTCTGGTGCTAGGTTCACTTAACAGTATTATATTTCGTTCATATTATAACTCAAAATACACACAATTTTATATCATTTAAAGAATTATCTAATCGTTGCCACATGTTCTATTCAAATGGTATAATAAAGCTAGAACGATGTATAAAAGAAATTAAGCAAACAAAACAAAAAAGAAACAGTTTTTCACAGACGATTGAGTATTTCTCATTCAATTAATTCAGTCTCACTTCGCGACAAGGCAAAAATACATAAAAACTCAAAATATCTGTATTAAAAATTACGAAGTAAATCTTAAACACTTATTTCCTCGAAAAAATTCCAGAAACGATTAAGCATGATTTAATTCGCAATAATAAATGAAGGCGTTATCTTTGTTGTTGCGAAGCTTAATATCTCTTGATTGGCAACAAATCCACTATTCTGCTATTTCAAATGTAAACAAGCGATGGCCGCCATAAAAAAAAAAGAATATTAGGCTTAGCGGCACTTAAACAACTTTAAAATTGTTGATAATTCTAAAAATATTGTATACAGATTTACTAAAGGCATAAAAACCTTAACCGGAAGATAAGAACAACATAATTCAATCATTTTTAAAGCAAAATATTTACAATTTGCAAACATATAGTAGTAAAGAAACTGAGATATTTTCACTGCACCGGGTAACAGAGTAGATATATATATATATATAAATATATTTATAATATGTTTGGTGCGGCCGATTGCAACCAAAATACGAGGTGCACATCTACATGTTATAGCATTCCTATACACAAAATTTCAAAGTTCTGAGGCTACTCGTTTTCGAGTTATGCAAGATACGTACGTACGTACACTGCTCAAAAAAAAAAAAAAAAAAGGGACAGTGCTATATCTCCCGTTCTATTGGTCCGATTGACAAAATTCAAACTGCGTTTTTCATGTCTCGAATGCGCGACTTAGGATATATATTAGATTTATATACAGCACTATTCTAACATAGGTATTTTGACACAAAATCGGACTTTTTCTGAAATAACATACCATTTTTTTCCATATTTCGATTCTACGACTTAAATTATGCCAGAATACCAAATTTTGTAAAAATCGTGCGAGTAGTTTTTAAAATATTAGCTCTCAAAACTTTAGCTCTTCAATGTTAATTGAATTTGGCAAATATTTATTAATATCTCTTTTTTTATTAAACTTTTTGGATTTTTTCTCTCACATTTC